CTGGGGCAGCCAGACAGGCTTCCCCCATTCAGCTGCTGCTGAAACTGACCAGCAGCTGAATCGGGGAAGCCGGGAGCAGAGCAGCTGGGGTGCTGCCGGGTTGGTCCCACAGCACCGAGGGGCAGCGCTACGGGACCAACCCGACAGCACCCCAGCTGCTTTGCCCCAGGCGTCGGGATTCAGCTGCTGCTGAAACTGACCAGCAGCTGAATCGGGGAAGCCGGGAGCAGAGCAGCTGGGGTGCTGCCGGGTTGGTCCCACAGCACCGAGGGGCAGCGCTACGGGACCAACCCGACAGCACCCCAGCTGCTTTGCCCCAGGCGTCGGGATTCAGCTGCTGCTGAAACTGACCAGCAGCTGAATCGGGGAAGCCGGGAGCAGAGCAGCTGGGGTGCTGCCGGGTTGGTCCCACAGCACCGAGGGGCAGCGCTACGGGACCAACCCGACAGCACCCCAGCTGCTTTGCCCCAGGCGTCGGGATTCAGCTGCTGCTGAAACTGACCAGCAGCGGCTGAATCAGGGACGCCTGGGGCAGAACCGGACTATCGTAAGGGGGGCTATGAGGGGTTTGGGGTGGCATCCCCTCCCACCCCACTCCAGACCCCTCATAGCCCCCCCTTCTGATAGTCCGGCATATCTGATAATCTGGCACCCCCTGGGTCCTAAAGGTGCCAGATTATCTGAAGTTTACTGTAGTTGAGCATGATGTCTATGTGTTCTTGTTTAAAAATGTAGGAAATTCTATTAAATATCATCAAACCTATGTCGCAAGAATGGTAAGATTACAAAGCAAAACACTCAGAACGCAGGAACTTATAAAGTGAAGGTAATTTGCACAAACTGACCTAGTCTCAGTATCCATTACAATGTGATCTGTTTTTAAATGACCATAAACTATTTTTCTCCACAAGAGTCCGAGCCCATTCAAGCAAAAGGGGGAGAAGCGATTTGGTTGATTCACCGCAGCTAAGATATGCAGTGCTCTGAAAGAACCTGTTGCCCGCAGACTCGTTGTTTCATCGTTTGTAAATTATATGGTGTGAAGTGCTGTAAATGAGGCAGGTTGCTAATGGAAGGAGGAGTAGAGACTTCAATTTAATTCACTGGACTAAGAGTCAAGAGATTTGGTTTCCATTGCTGCTTATGGGACTATAGGTAAGTCACTTATTACTTTCTGTAGCAGAACACTTTCTGACTCCAAGTTATCTCCTTGGCTAAGTCTAGACTGGCATGATTTTCCACAAATGCTTTTAACGGAAAAGTGTTTCCGTTAAAAGCATTTGCGGAAAAGAGCGTCTAGTTTGGCACGGATGCTTTTCTGTAAAAGGGTTGTCTTTCAACAAAATATGTAGTGTAGACATAGCCTAACTAACTCTGACAGTGGATATAGGAATGGAAGCAGGAGGTGTAGGAATGGAGGATAGAGGTGGGGGTAGGATGAAAGGAGGGGGTGGACAGTGTGGGGAGGGGAGGACGGGCTAGGGAGGATGGTGGATATAGGAGTGGAGGCAGGAGAATGGGGATGTAGGAATGGAGGTTGGAGGTGGGGGATGGTCTGTTGACCATGGAGCTCCAGGATAATGACTAGTGGCCCAGATTACCACAACCGGGCTCTCTTCCCTTGTGACCCAAATCTGGTTCTCAGTAGTATGCAGGCAGGTGAAGCTGGGGGCTCCCCATTTTTCCATGTGCCCTGTCTGCACAGAGCATGTCCCAGCCCTGCAGCGGGAGCTCGCTTGCCAGCTGGAAAGGCACACTTGGAGCGCTGCTGCCCTGCAAAGATGGACAGTAACCAGGCATAGGGAAGGGTTGGAATTTAACTTCACTTACAAGTTTGAGACCCATCATAAAGGTATGAATAAAGACATTACCTGGCTAGCACACGACCTTCCACATCCCAATGATTTAACCAACCAAACAATGGGTACTCAAGAACAATTTTCACCTTCTATATCAGCTTCTTGTAACTTGAACACTCTAATTCACTATTTTTTCCCCTTTCTTCCCCCCACCATTCCCTATTTATTTTTGGATCTGGACTTTTAAAACTCTATTCATTTGAAGAAGTGGATTGTACCCACAAAATCTCATGATATCATCTACATATTTTGTTAGTCTTTAAGATGCTGCTAGACTATTCGTTGTTTTTTAAGTTTTTTCAGGTGCAGAGAACGGGGAATTCTCTCCCTACCTGGCCGCTCAGACGTAACCCAGTCCCTGCCTCTTGCTAGCGAGCCGGGTGCCCAGGAGCACCTGGAACGAAGGGAATCATTTGGAGTAGGGCCCTGTTTTACTGACTGCGTTTGGTTTTCGTTTACACATGAGGCCCAGAAGCCTGCAGAGCACAGCCCTTTCTGACAGGTCACTTCTCCATAGTCCCATGTTAGCTGCCAGGAGAGACTCTGAACACTGTACACAAACTAACTATTTTATTGGCGGGTGGAGCAGGGGGGAAGAAGGTGGGGGGGGGGGCTGGCTGGCGATTGAAGGGTGCAGGTGAGATGGGCCGAGAGTGTTCAGATAGAGGGGCCTGTCCAGGGGTACGGTGGGGTTGGAGCAGAAAAGGGTGCGAGTGACTTGGGGTCATGGAGGGTGCAATGGGGCTCAGTGCAAGATTAACAGGCTCCCTGGCCACAAAAGCAGCCAGCAAGTCACGGGATGGCAAGGGTAGCAAGCAGGGGGTGCACCCCCTAGTATATTTTAAAAAGTTATGGAATTCTGTATAAATCAGGATGCCTGAGGAAAGACTACCTACAAAGGGCGGAGGTGGTGCAAAACACTCACTACCCTACCGGATGGCTAGTAAAGCCTTAACAGTAGGTGGCACTGGTTGGAAAAGTGAGTTGTCCAGAGCAGCTGGCAAAGTGTTGAGTCTGCCAGGGAAGGTGGAAATTTAAGGGAGAAGATGCATAGAATATTGTTAACATCTTTGCTACACATTGTGGTTTGGTCTCTCTCAATTAATAGAGGCCCAATTATTCACCTGCTGGATGTGAGCAATATACAATGGAATTCAAGTAATGTGTTACTGGAACTATCGTATTCCACCAGAGGAAGATCAGACTGGCATTAAGTTAAAACATAGTAGTTTTTTTTTTCATTTAACTGTTTGAAGCTCTGTTTCTATAGTATCTTGATTTTAACCTGTCCTTTTATACTAAATATTGAAGAGGAGGAGCTGCAAATGAATATTCAGTCAGGTGTTAATTAGGATTTTAGACAAGGTCTTCATGCATGCAGATTACTATTACTGTAAATGGTACAGGTTTATTTAAAACAGTTAAAATAAATTTAAAAAATCAAATAAAAACATCAGCAAAAGTTTCTTTTTAGACTTCAGAGAGGAACAATGTTTTGATAAAAGAATAACACAGATCATCTTGGATCTGGATAAGGACATCTGAAAATTCACACATGTAATGGTAAAAATTACATCATCTCTAATATTTTTACCACCTGGCTTACTTCAAATAACAGTAACACAGAGATGCTATTTTGAGGACAACCAGCCATTGCATTTGTTTTCCATCTGATATACAATCTAGGACAACTGCAATAGTAAACCAGTCATGAACTTTATTAAACCTTGTACAGTTTCCAATAGTTCTAGGAACTGTGAATTTACCTCTTGTTGATACCATGATGTGCAAGTGTTCAACATTTATTTTAATATATATGTATGATGAACTGGATTTAGGATTTTAATGAGTTTAATGAGTTAAATATATATGAAATTAATTTTGAGGGAGTACACAAAGAAAGATATGTGAGTGATTCTGAAAATCTTAGCATGAATTTAGATTAAAATTTTATCAAAAGCTAAGCATTAAAATCCATATTTTGACACTTAATAAACAGCCCAAAGTTCAGAGAGGCAGAGCATCTTCAATTCCCTTGGGACACCAACTGGAGTTCTGAGTACTTTGCACATCTGAAAATCCTAAGCATGGATTTAGGAGCCAAACTTTAGTGACTGAAATTTTTAAATAAACAGATTTTTGAGTAATAAAGATGCAGGAGTGAATGAAAGAATGTGCAGGCATGTATAACCAATTTCAAACCTTATGATAATAAGGCATATTTTCCTTACATAGAGATAAACTACAGTATATATAATACTAGAAGACTTACCTGATATTGCCTGGGTCCTTCAGAGCAGGGGTCTGGTGGACTGGGAGGTACAGGAGTCAGGGCAGGGCCCTGGGGATGTGGATAGGGTTGCCCGATGGTTTCAACAAAAGTACCGGACACACTTGACATTACATCACAATCTACATTACATCTTATTTAGAAAATACCAGACATTTATATTTTCTCAGTTGTATTTTCTCAATTTGTTTTCCGAACAGAAAGCTCAAATACTGGACTGTTCAGTTCAAAAGCAGACACCTGGCAACTCTAGATGTGGAAGAGCAGGAGGCTGGGAGTGTGTGTGTGCGGGGGCGAGAGAGTGAGGGTTGGAGGCTGAGGAGGACCTCAAGGTGTGTGGGGTCCCATCTGGCAGGGCTTTCTCTCCCATTCCGGCCAGCAAGATCTTCGTCTGATGGCAGGCAAGATGGTAGAAGCCCTGCCCTGCTGGCCACTCTCTTAGTGGTATGGCCGCCCCCAATGGTCTCTCTGCAGTATAGCTCTCCCCCATAGGCTCACTGTCCCCAGTGGCCATTCTCAGTATCACGACCCTCCTGTCTGTGCCCCTCCATTTCCATGTTATGGAAAACAGTTCTATTACCAGCACTTCCCATTTTCAAACCCTGACCTTGCTTAAGTTAGGATAAGAGGAAGCTGAATGCCAAATCTGGTGGTCCTAGCTCTTACCGTTTAGGAAGAATTCTTGAACCAATGGAGTTGCAAACAGACACACACACACACAGATGGACAAATCTTTACATAAACATACATATAGATATAGATATAGATACACACAAACAGAAAGAGAGAGAGAAAGAGAGAAAATTCGACAAGCAATTTAAAACTGAGCATATTGAACTATCCTTTCTTACCTCTATTCCCTCCTTGCTTAAGGCATATTCGTCAAAGTTCAAAATAGCAGTCTTAATGGTTCTTGGAGGGGGTAACACTGTCAATCCAATATTAATAGCATTGCTTCGTTTTGAGTCCAACACAATGATCTCTTGTCTCTTTCCATCTGCAGCAGTTTTCTTAGTAAACAGGTAAAGAGAAGAAAATTAACTTGATACAATTATTTACATTGGTCTTCAGTGACTTGGACTTACATAATAGTAGCAACAATGACAATAAAATCTTGTGTATCTATAAGCAAAACATGGGGTAAATTCTACTGTCCTTTACACCAATGCATCCCCACTGAAGTCATAGGTGGCTGTCAAGAGTTTAAATTAGAAGGCAGAAATTAGTCTTATAACTGTGTAAGATAAATATATTATGTACTTTTTGCCATGAGTCTTGGGAGTACAGAAATTGGGGCAGGATTCAAAAATTTTAACTTAAGTTTGACGTTGTCAGTATGAAGTGACAGATCTCTCCATTGGACAGAAATTAAATGGTGCCAGAAAGTGGTACAATTTGCAGGGATGCTCAATGGAAGTGTGTACAAACGATTAGAGCAGGAAATTGGGAATCAGGGCTTCTGAGCTGTGCCGTGACTGGCTATGTGATCTTGAATATGTCACTTCACTTTTATCTCACCTAATTATAAAATGGAGACAGTCATACTTACATAGCTCATAGATTGTGTGTGGCTTGTTTGCAGGTGGGTCTATAATGTTAGAAAAACAAAGGCAGACAAAGGTTCCATGGTTGCTCTCAGAAGGAGCTCCAACACCTTCTTTCTGGAGGTGCAACATGTGTCCTGCCTGCTCTGTTTTCTGAAGGAATAACACCATCCCATTGATTGTGGTCAGAGTACTGTGGCTGATCCCTGCAGTGCAGACCTACTGTTACCCTCCCATTTCCTTCACATTTTCCTGTAGGGCCAGCCATAATCTAGTCCTTAACATATGCCAAGGGCTTTGAGATCTTCAGGCAAGATGTGTTAGACAATAATGACAATACAGATAATAATGAAAATGCAATATATATATTTTACAGATCTCAGTCATGTATTTATTTTTTGTAAAATATGTAAAAAAAAATTCCTCCCACCCAACATGGACAAAAAATGTCTAGTCAACTAAGCACACTAATTTGCAAAACATGTATGGGGGTATTATAAAATGTTCAATATAGACTTAATTTAGGGAACATGTATTTTATTTTTTCATCACACTGCATTGGAAGGCATGGTACCTTTTTTTGGAAAGCCGAGGACGTAACTGAATATGGCATATGATGTAGGACTCTGTTATTCAGTGGACTTTGTAAGCATATTTCTTTCTATGTTAGCATACAGTAGGGGGTGGAAAAATGCTGTTCAGATCCATACTGGGATCAAATTTAGGAATTTGACTTGAAGTCTAAAGTTCCTATTCAGCAAAAGCACTTAAGCATGTACTTAACTTTAAGCTTTGGCTCCACCTACCAGTGTGTCAGCTCACATAGCTATGATTGTGAGGAACAGGAAATAATCCATGCACGGTATAAAACCGAGGCATATTACTTCCCTTTTGGATCACAGGGGGAAGTGGGAAGCAAATTGTGACTGCCTGAGTCTCAACCTTTTCCTGGCCAACTCCCAGGTTAATGCAGCTAAGTTCTGCCATGATTTGGAGTTTGCGCCATAGCAATAACTGGACCATAATTATACTAACACCAACCTATCACACTTTCTCATTCTGGTGTAACTATCACTATTAACAGTATGATTCTTTTAGAGTGTATGCAGTATGGATGAAAAAAAAGTTTTAAAAAAGTAACCATGTAAATGTTAGAAGTTACATGCACTGTGGGCTCTGCCGTATAATGCTTATACTACAGAAGCGTTTAAACACCACAAGAATGGATAAAGTGATGCTTATCAGTTAAACTCTTACGTCCCTAGAACGCCACCATGGCTACGTCTAGATGTGCAAATCAAGCACAACAAAATTGCTAATGAAGCAGGGATTTAAATATCCTGCGCTTCATTAGCATAAACATGGCTGCCGCTTTTTTTTCAAAACAAGAGTTTTTTCAAACCCCCTGGCAGTATAGACGCAGATCTGTCGAAAATAAACCCTTTTTCGACAGATCCTTTATTCCTCAAAAAATGAGGTTTACAGGATCTGTCGAAAAAGGGTTTATTTTTGACAGATCCATATCTAGACGGCCTTTTTTTCGAAAAAACTCAGTTTAAAAAAAAAGCAGTGGCCATGTTAATGCTAATGAAGCACAGGATATTTAAATCCCTGCTTCATTAGCAATTTCGATGTGCCTAATCTACATCTCTCTGTCGACAGAAAGGTGTAGTCTAGACATACTCCATGACAGTATAAAGGGTTTTTTTCACTACTATAACTTATTTTCCTTCTTGTAAGTTCAATAGCTATAATGGTCAATAGCTATAAACACTTTTACACCAGTATAATAGGGTCCACAGTCAGGATGGCATAGTGATACAGTTAAAGTGAAACAACTTTACTGTGTACAGACAAGACCGAAGAGGGATGTGTACAGAAAGCTGTTTTTTAAACTGGCTTCCCTCATGGATTGGTTCCCGCCTGGCAACTTGCATTGCTGCCTATGATTCAGAGGCTGCAGTGCGGGGTGCAGTGGACTCCATGGGAATGGGGCCAGACTGCACTAGCTGCCAGCCCCATCTCAGGGGACTAACCGCTAATAATTCATGCAGTTAGTTGACTATTCTATTACCTGATAGCTAACATCCCTACTGCAGACAAGAGCAGGGTTGTATAACATAATTTAGCAAAGCAGAGGTGCATTTTTTTCATCTCTTTGGGCAGAAAAATAAATATTTTGAACCATCTTGCCCACATACCTGCCTTGTGTAGCAGCATAAAGGGCAGAAATTTTTCAGACTTGTTCAGTGAGGAAAGAAGATCTCTCTCTTTATGCTTGCTAACAAGCTGTCACAGACCTCTAGTCCAGCACACACATAAACTGTCTGCAATGGAGAATGCTGTGAGTCGTGTAATCATGCAGTAGTTTCTCTGTTATGTTACCAATTTTCTGCCAGAAATCACAAATGTCTCCACATGTTACATTCTGCTATCTAAGGTATATTTTATTTTATTTTATTTTGTTGTAGTCTATTGTGTTTAATGAAAAACTTATTGTGAGCCAGCATCAGGAAGTGGCTGTTTATAGCTGTGTTTTGTGGAAATCATTGTTAAGGATTAGAAACAGGAGTAAAATTGGTTGCAGCTGTATCAAGGAGCATATCTTGTAAGATGGAGCCAAGAAATGCATACCTCATCCTCTCTTCTGATCTTAATTTTAGTCTCTCTCTCTCTCTCTCTCTCTCTCTCTCAATTTTCTGAATAATTTGTTTGATGAATAACTGACTACATCTACTGCATTGATATCTGACTGGCCTAACTTTTATTTGTTGCTCTGTATTCTGATTTTAGGGGTACCAACTGGACTGGCAGTCGCTCTTATACGACTGCGCAGTGGACCTGATTCAGAATGTAGTCATTGGACAGTAGAAGTCAGGCACAATGGGATGTGTTCTCACTGGAAATTGACAAACTGGTCAGGAAAAAGTCAGAGCTGGGCTACTTTCAGCACAATCTTCAAAGCAAAGCCAAGGAAGAAAGGTGAGCTCATGTGTATATGTATTTTATTTTACAAGTTCAGTTATGTCTCTTCAATTATTCCTATTTGAGATAAGACCTGCACTGCCTGTCCTCAACAGGTTTGATGATAATCCCCCTAACCCATGGGGAGTCTCAGAAGTCTGAAAATCTTTGCTGAGGTATTTTTTGTTCTTCATTAAATTTTACATGATCCAGGCTTCCTGGAGTCAATAATCTCTGATACTTCTGACTCACAGAAGTCTCAGGGTATTTGAGATTTGAAGACAACTGCTAGTCTGAAAAAAGAAGAGACACCTCAGTCCTCCCAACTTAGATTTGTCAGAAGGAGAAGATGGGAAACAGGACAAATCTTGGATTGGATGAGCTGAAGACTAGAGTCTAAGGGTGTGTCTACACTGCACCGTAGGTCGAAATGAGATACGCAAATTGTGTATCTTATTTCAGTGTTATTTAGAAGAAGATTATTTTGAAATTTGGTGCAGTCTGCACAGCACTTATTTGGAAATAAATCGCTATTCCGAAACGTCCCTTATTCCTTGTGGAATGAGGTTCCCAGGGACGTCGGAATAGTGAGCCCATTATATTTCGAATAAAAGGCACGCTCAAAGATGCAGAATAGCCGTTTTGGGATACTGCGGTATCCTGAAATAGAGCTGCAGTGTAGGCCAGCAATAAGAGACCAGGCTACCATCAGGTGGGGTGGAGAGATAAGACCTGAACCAATGCCCAATGAAATTCACAGGACTCTTGCCACTGACTTCAGTGGGAGCTGGATCAGGATCACAGATAGCACTAGTCACAAAGTGCAGTCCAAGATATCAGGCAGAGCCCAAGAAGCAGGTTGTACTCAAAGGAAGAGAAGAAAGTCAGGGAAGTAACATGGAGCATCCCTGGGATTCATATCAAAGATGTTAAGATGGTCTTGATGAAATCGCAAAAGGAATAAGTCCTGGTTGAGTGGAAGGAAAGATGTTGGGTTACAGTGAGGAAGAACCAGTCTTCCAAAGTTTGGCTATACATCAAAACTTTAGTAGGCTTACCCAAAGTTTGTCCATTAAAACAGTAAGTCTTGAAATATCACTTCAAACTCCTGTGCAAGGATAAGGAAGCACCAGTATTGTATTACTGAAGTGACATCCTAGAAATTAAATTTATAATTTCTCATCCAAAGAAGTCCTGGCCCCTCATATGCTGCTGGTAAATTTGGTACAGTATCTGCTCCTTGACTGGGAAGATTAATCATCAGGTTTCTTAGAAGTCAGCACAGTTGTGAATTATAGAGTGATTCAGATGACCACTTATCTTTCGGACACTAAGTCTCTGAGACTAACCTCCAAGAGAAAGTTGTCATCTAGATCACTCTTCGCAAAGCTACACTGCTCTCAAAGAAACCTACTGATTCATCTTGCCAGCCAAAGCATAGATGCTGCGCCAAAGCATCTATCAACACATGGAAGAAAGGAAAGGAAGCCTGTGTAGGGCAACGGTGAGTGAGGAGAGCTTGGAAATCTATCTGGTTAATGATCTGGAAAATCAACAAATCAATCCAATGATTAAAACAATCTCAACTTTTAACATAATTTACAGTAAATGGGTAAAAGTAAGGCAGACCAAGTCATCAAAATATTGGCATTATAAAGTATAGAACAAACTCTGCAGAGATGGAAATATATTATAACTCAATATTCCTAAAGAATGATTTGTTTTATGGCTCCTAGACAACATTCACATTCCTTCTGCTCCAGTCTACATTCAGAATGAGTTGTCTATGACAGATTTATATTTACAAGGCAGGAAGACAGGAGGAATAATATGCCATAATTTTACCAACAGTCCACTGTGAAAAAGTAGAGAGTGTGAAATTAAGTTCTACATACCCTGAGTTAAATATTGATTTGGATTTATTTTTAAAATCTGTCTGAAATACATTTCTGATCTACACACAACGAAAATCATTGAGCAATTATTGTGTCATAGAAATTCAATTTAAAAGTATAACATCTGTAGCATGATGTAAGTCATGTATATGTACACCTACTGTTTATTGTGCAAACATTTTATAAACTGTGGCTATTTCATTCACATCACCAACACATAACCTTTATGACACATCTGTAATTCTGGTAACTATGGCTGAAATGATTACACTCACAGATAAAGCCCAGAGTTCAAAGTCAGCTGAATAAATTAATCAGCAGGACTTCTGATTCTACTTTTTATTCTGTTTTTTTGGGGGGGACTCAGTGTTTTTGGAAGATGCCAGTTGACATCATTGTAAGCAGAAGTCCCAAGAGCACTTACACCCAAAAGCAAAAGCAGGGTATGGCAAGCTTTCCTGAACTGATACAACATCTCTCAACCCTGACCTGGAATAACAGCATCTAGAACTGAGAAACAGTGTTAAGATCTCAGATCCATTGAATCCTTGGCCTATCAGCTAAGTCAGCCAACTGTGAAGTATCTGGCTGACCAAGGACATCAAAATATAGACTGTCAAACTGCCATTTAGAACCATTTAAACTGGATTTGACCTAAATATGAAGTACAAGAGATCTAATTTTCAACACTGTAAGGCATTTAGTCTCCTGGAATGTTTGTTTCTGAACATATGGCTACTTAATCACTTGTACCAATAACAGAAAAGTAAAATGATCATGGTACTATGTGGTTTTTCAGAGTTGTTATAAAACTTGTACTAATGTGAGAACTTAGGCATATGTACAACAGATACATTGGCAAGGAATGATTTTCTTATATGTGGCCTTATGGTATATCTTTTATTAGTACTGTAACTGGAAAAGAATATTGTTTCTCTGATACCAATTATTGTACTTACATTAACAAATCAAAAGCAATGTAGTTATAAACAGCAAGAGTTCTATCTAATAACTTTTAAAAGGCTACGTTTAAATTTCCATTAAATTTAACTATTCAATTCAATTTAACATGGAACTAGAGATGTCAGCGATCAGTCGACTACCCAATAAATCTAGGCTTATGGGATGGTCGAGTCACTACTTGACTAGTCGCTTCTTCCCCCTTGTTGCCTCTGTTCCAGAGGCAGCGGGGGAGGGGGAAGCAGGACCCAGTTCCCTAGCATTGTTTCAGCAGTGGGGCAGGGAAGGCAGAGGTACAGCGTGGCAAATGGTGGGAGCAGGGACTGGTAGCCTTTAAATATAGTAAGAACCCCGCTGGCCCTCAGTTCCACACTGTGCCCACGGGGCTCTTACTACAATTAAATGGCAGAGGTGCAGCAGGGAACCCAGGGCGAGTGGGGCTCTTACTACATATAAAAGGCAGAGGCGCAGCAGTTGGGACCCGGCGCGAGCTGGGATTGCTTCTGTCCGCACTCACGCCATTTCCCCCGTTGTGCCTCTGTCTCCCTGGGGAGATAGTGCTGGGGGAGCAGCCATCTTTTAAGCTGGCTCCCCCCATCACTGGCTCCTCCTCCCTCCCCTTGCTGCCTTTCTATCAGAGGCAGCAAGGGAGTGGGAAGCAACTAGATGAGTAGTGACTCGATTATCTGATAAACTTATTAGGTAGTCGACTAGTTGCTGACAGCCCTAGTTCCATGTTAATTGTCTCTTGATGATTTCCATTTCAAGTGTGTTAGGATTACTTGTCAAAATAATTTTTTATCATATTGCCAACCCCTTCTAACAGAACCTAGGATCTGAAAGTCAAACTGATTTCTCTTCTTTTCATGCATAAATATCATGCTTGAGTGGTCTTTTTTGACAACTTTGCACAGAAATGTTTTTCACCCTTGACTTAGATAGCATGACTATTCAAATTTCATAATGAAAACATGAAAATTGCATGAGAGAAAAATCTTGATTTGCTAAGAATTCTTTTTCATAGGAATATTACCATAAAATTAATCCTCTAAGTCTGGTAACATAACTATGTAATGACCAAAGCATCAAGAAATTATGACATCTCTTGTAGTCAGGGAAGGTTCTTACTACACTTAAAAGGCAGATGTGCAGTGGGGATAGCGAGCACACATCCCTTATCGACTAATCGAGTAGTCGATGGAATTCCATCGACTACTCGATTAGCTGATTAATTGAAATTTAACATCTTTACATGGAACCACAAGATTATTTGCATTTTTCCATGCAGAACCATATTTCAATGTTATGACCCTTTCCTTAATACATGATTGACCTTAGTATCTATGGGGAAAATATTTTTAAATGTGAGTACTTAAAATGTTAAGGTGTCTATAAGGTGTGAATTTTAAGTATATTAGTTAAATCACATTTAAACATTTGTGAATACTCTCATTCAGAATTCAAGTGGCCTTGATTTAGGATAATTTAATTCACTTTGTAAGTAAATTAAGCCAAATGAAGGCCGCTTTAATTCTGAATAACAGCACTCACACAGGGACTCCTCATAGTCTAACAACTAATCCACTTCAAATTCATACCTTTAATTTGGATTAATATTCCTTGATATCCCCCATGTAAGCAAACCTATATATGAAGACTCTGGCTATAAAGCTTAGAATGCTAATACTCCTCAGCTGAAATGAAATCCTAACAGTGGTATAGAAACATATACACAAGTCCTATGGCATAGGGTAATGTAGGTATATTGTTTTGGGCTCAGCTCTTAATGTCAGCTAGCTCATGGAGTGTCTGTCTCTCTTTCTAGCATACTTAACTTGTGCACTAAATGTATAAAACATATATGATTTTTTTATATGAGGCTTTGCAGTGTTTCTTTTATTAGTACTATAACTGGAAAAGAATATTGCTTCTCGGATACCAATTACTGTACTTACATTAGCAAATCAAAAATAACGTAGTCATAAACAGCAAGGATTCTAGCTAATAATGTTTAAAGGCTACCTTAGCTAATTTTGCTTTTTTAAACTTTTTAAGCATAAAATATTACCTACATTAATCTAAAACAAACTCAAAATGAGTAAAGACTAAACAAAACATTAGAACTACCTTTGTGACGGGCAGTTCCTTGGACTTAGACTCAAAGAGGTGTTCCAGTTTGGAAGTGTCCAGCTTAATGGGTTCCAGTTTCGACCACAGGAATTCTTTACAGCGTTTGTTATTTTTACACTGCCACTCAAATGGCCGTACCTCGTTCCAAAACAGACGAATGGTTTTCTTCTTCTTCATGAATGCTGGCTGACCCCTAGGAACCTGGGGTGACCCTAAACCCTGAGGAGTGCTGAACAGTGGAGGAGGAGCCAATAAATTACCAGAGGGTAGAGGTGGACAGCCAAACAGTGGTGGAGGTGGTGGAGGAGGCAAACCCAAAAAGGAAGGTGGAGGTGGGGGAGGGGGAATCAGGGAGTCCCCAGGACCCATATCGAAGTCCAACACATCTACATCATCCTCATCCCCCAAGTCTGTAAAATCCATGTCTTTGATTTTAAGTTCTCTAGGATTAGCCATGAGCTGATCCCAAATGTAGTCAGATTCCTTCTTCGGCTGTGCTGGTGTTTTCTCAGGGACAATTTCATCAAGCTCACCCTCGGGCAACACTGTCCCCTTGGCTAGCTCACCATTGTTGAATTTTTCTGCAAAGGCTTTCACACTGCCTTGGTTGTCCAGATTTCCAACCTCCATCTTTTTGACACTTTCATCTTTGGCCTGCTTGCTGGCCTGAAGGATAGAGATCCTACTGGCTAGGCTGGTGATTGACTCATCACTTTCCTCCGTCGCCTTCTTCTCCTCCTTCTCCTCCAACTCTTTCTCCTCTTCATCCTTGGGTTTCTTGTTATGGGCATACAACATATCCAGCATGAACCGTTTGTTGTTGAGAATGCTGCTGCACTGCTCATTCACACCAGCATCTTGAATGGTCTGTGACCACGGACCTGTAATCACACACAAACAGCGACAATGAACGGAAACAGCATCAGGGTGTCAGGAATCCTAAAAATGGCACTGGAAATGTCTTTGGTGATGCATGGACAATTATAGTAGGAAACTGGATAAAGGGACTGTCTACACAAAGACCAAATGTTCCACAAGCTGGGTTGTGAATCTATCTCACACTGACAGGCCCATTTCTGCAAGTTGGTATTTGTCTGAAAAGTGCATAGCAGCCATTCAGGCAGTAGGAGCTAAAGGTGCTCAGAACCTCTCAAGAGGGACTCAGTGACACTAAGGACACAGGCCAAACTGCTTCTCTGAGATGCTTTTTTAATTTTATAGAGCAAAAATTATGGGTTACCGGTTGATAATTGCTGAGGAGTTCAGGGTCACATTATTTTACTGGTCACCAGCTGGTCAGATTCTTTGACAATCCATCAGTACAAAGGCCACAAAGGACTGGATGGCACTTGCCCTTGTTTCCAGTGTCTCTGAACTTTCCGCTCTGGGCTAGGACCAGAAGTGGGAGCATTAAAACCCTGTCAAAAGGGCTGCTCTTGTGGTATTTCTGACATGGCTGGAAACAGCTGTTACTCGAGGAAAGGGTGTTGTTTTTCCAGCCTGATTTTGAGGCCAACAGAGTTTGGCTATCTATCCACCTTGCTCTCTTCCACTGTAACCACTACTAGCCAGGGGGAAGGCAGCTTTAAACTCAGGCTGCTCCTAGCACAACTCCTGGTTTGCCATATTCACCAGAGTGACCTCTGGGATCTCTGGCAGAGTGAATTGTGCACACAGAGTAAAATTTCCAAAAGCACCTAAATACATAGGAGCCTCAGTTACATTTTCAGAAATGACTAACGCACTTAGGCCCCTGAGTCACTTGGGTATTTTTGAAAATATTATCTGCTGACCAAAATTAATGACATTTAAACTACAATCACATTGAATTCTGCCCTCCTCTCATCCAGATATAACAATATATAATGTACACATACGAGTTGCAAAATTAAGCAGTGTATGAGACATCCTCAGAAATAATTAAAACCAAAGAATAATAAAACCATTAAAATAAATGTTCAAAATGTATTGTAGGATGCATTTTTTCCTAGCTTTTAATACCTCTTAACATCTTCACCAACCAGCCTGAGACTCAGTGTAGAAAATATGTAAGGTCCCCTTTTTTTCAAAAGGCATTCAATAAGGCCAGCCTTATTTCACCTCCATCTTATTTTGTAATTAAGAATGGATTATGAAAATAGTTCTTCAATACTTAAGATTATTTTGGGTTTGGTTCTTTCTTTCTCTTCCTTACATATTTAATCGTTTTTTTTCTAATCTAACTTTTTAAATAAAATTTTAGTTTATTTTTTACTACTGTCTTCCTCCTCTTCTCTTTGCTGGCGTACTTTTTTCTTTTAGTTCTGTGGTTGTATTTTCTCTTGAGTTTCTTATTTATTTTTGTTTCTTCTTTTACTATTCTATCTTTATATTTGTCCAGATTTTTATGTTAGCACATCAAATTTAATGTCTTTATCAGCTGACTTATTTTCTTTCTATCACATGAAGCCCCTTTCACCTGCTCTGGTAAGTCTCTTCCTTTGCAAGTTCAGTGGACACATCGACACTATGTGCCTAAAAGTCCAAACCGCAAGCTGCTCTAGCTGAATCATTTGTTAAAATTACATTAAGCTAAAATGGGTTTAAAAATTCGCTGTGCCCAGGGAGTGGATTTCCAGCCTGGAAATTCCAACCTGGGTTTCTAATGTTAAATAGTTTATGGCCCCATCCATACCTGCATTTGAAGCATTAAGAAAGATGCAGCTTATACACAAATGATTTTTGTCCAGGATGTATGCAGCCCCTGTCTTTATTCACCTTGTACTTTTCTGAACAATTAATCTCTCCCTTGCCTCATTTTCCCCTATGAAACAGATATGGCAATTTCCTCCACAGTCTTTGAGAGACCTCAATGTAGTACATTTATATATCATTGTCAATCCTGCTGGAAAGGTATAACAAGTGGGGTTTCACAGGGGGTCTGTTTTGGGACCGGCTCTGCTCAATATCTTCATCAACGATTTAGATATTGGTATAGAAAGTACGCTTATTAAGTTTGCAGATGATACCAAGCTGGGAGGGATTGTGACTGCTCTGGGTCATAATTCAAAATGATCTGGACTAATTGGAGAAATTGTCTGAGGTAAACAGGATGAAGTTTAATAAAGACAAATGTAAAGTGCTCCACTTAGGAAGGAACAATCAGTTTCACACGTGGGCTGTGTCTACACTGGGCCATTTATTCTGGAAAATCAGCCGCTTTTCCGGAATAAGCTGCGAGCTGTCTACACTGGCCCTTGAATTTCCGGAAAAGCAATGATGCTCTACTGTACAAAATCAGCCACTATTCCGGAAAAACTATTCTGCTCCCGCTCGGGCATAAGTCCTTATTCCGGAACACTGTTCCGGAAAAGGGCCAGTGTAGACAGCCCAGTAGTCTTTTCCGGAAAAAAGCCCCGATCGCGAAAATGGAGATCGGGGCTCTTTTCCGGAAAAGCGCGTCTACATTGGCCATGGACGCTTTTCTGGAAAAGGGCTTTTCTGGAAAAGCAGC